GCCCAAGGTGAGGGCCCACCGGCATGCGTTTGGGTGTCCGGTAAGAAGTTTGGGGGTCATACATGAAGGGAGCCCTGAGGCCCCGATTTATGCAGCGCAGTCCAGGCCTCCAGGGATGTGGGGCCCTAACTGGGGGGTGGGGTGGGATGGGGGAGGGCTTGGGAACACCCCCATCCGGTCCTGGAGTGACCATGCTGCCTCTCCCTCTCCCGCAGCCGCAGAGACCTGGACATTAACCGGCCGGGGACAGTGCCGAATGCCAGGACCCTCCGGTGAGTGCCCCTCGCCCCCAGCCTGCCCCCGCCTCCCCCCCCCCCCCGCCCCCGAGCCTTGGCCAGGCCAGAAAACCCTTTCCCTCTGTGTCCCCAGCTGCCCCGGGATGCTGGTGGTCGGGGACAATGCGCCTGCTGAGGACGGGGTGGTGAGTGAGGGATTGTGCTCCGACCCGGGGTGGGGACAGGAGTGAGGGGTTCACTGGGCTCCGGTCAGCGGCCTGTCCTTGACCAGCCCAGGGACCCCTCAGGGACGGGGTGGTGGCTCTCATCCTCCGTCCCCACACCCCCTCCTTCAACTGAGGGAGGCCTGGAGACGCAGGGGAGCTGGGCCAGGGCCAGGCCACCTCCCCACCCTCAGCAGTACGACCCCCACTTCCGTCTCCACCCACCTCAGGCCGGGAGACTCAGACCTCTCTTTGCTCTAACATGTGGCCCCTTCTTTATGGGACGAGTCATTCCTGACCACGACTGCACCAGTGCGGGTGGGGACTGTGTGGCCTCTCCTGTCGGAACCCGGGGAGCAGGCGGCCTGGGGGTGCCAAGCTCTGGGGAGAGCACTTGCATTAGCGCTTGGGGCAGGGGGCTCCCAGGCCCCCCAGGGGCTGGGTCCCCTCACTCCGCTGCATCTGGCTCCCCCTCCTCAGGTTGAGTGCAACTCCAAGCTGGACCCCACCACCACGACCTTCCTGAAGGTGAGACCCTGCTCCCCACCCTGGGCCCGGCCTCAGGGAGAGGCCTGCCTGGCGTCCCGGCCGGGCCGGTAGATCTGGTCAGCCGAGCCTGTCCAGGTGTGTGGGGGCCAGGCCAGGCTTGGGGGTGCCCTGGTCCGCTCACTCCCCTCTCTCCCTGCAGATGGCGGATTCCGGGGGGCTCCCGCAGGTCACACAGGTGAGACTCAGCCCACCCTCTTGCCTCGGCTGGGGCGGGGGACCTCCTCCCTCCCCCAATGCTAGACGGTCAAGTATGTGCCTGTCCCCCCCGCAGCCCGGGAAGCTGACTGAAGCCTTCAAGTACTTCCTGCAAGGCATGGGCTACAGTAAGTACCCGGCACCCCGCCCCCAGCACCCACAGGCGGCAAGGGGGCCGGCACCGCCAGGTGTGCTGAGCAGCCCGTGGGCCGGGCGCCCTGGATGGGGGCCTGAGTGCGGGGTCGCTCTCTCCACACACCCCCCTGCTGCCAGGGCGTCTGCACCTCCGTGCCCAGCTCTCCTGGGCCCTGGGGAGGCTTTGGGCGCCGTGGCATGGCGGGTCCCGCCTGAAGGTGTCAGACACCCCCCCCCCCCCCCCAGGGCTTTGTCACAGCTGGGAGATGGGCACAGAAGAGCGGCTTGCAGTCTGGGCCGCGGAAGGCACATGAGAAGAGCTCCTCTCCCCGTAGGCAGCTGGGCCTGGGTGGCATTCTGCACATCCTGGGGCGTAGGGGCCGCGGGCAGCACTGGCCCCCGACGCACCCCTCCCCCCTCTGTCTCCAAACTGCCCCTGTGCTCAGATCCAGACTGCGCTTGTGAGCCCCCAACACGCGCGCGTGCATACACATACGCACATGCACACACACACACACTCGGGGACACACACACACACACTCGGGGACACACACGCACACACACCTCCTCCACCCCTCTGCTGCACACACCTGGCTCCTGGTGGAAGCAGACTTTCTCTCCCCAACGACTTTTTGTTCCTCTCCCTGAAGTTTTGTGCCTCTGGGCCTGGGGGGTGGGGGGGAGGGAGAGGAGGAGGGGAGGACAGGCCTGTGTGGGGAGGGGAGGCAAGAGCCCCATCCAGGGACAGCTCTTCCTCCGGCCCCTGGGCCTCGCCTCTGTGAGAAGTAGGCAAGGAGTGAGTCGGAGCAGAGCCGGCCTGGAGCACGGAGGCGCCCAGTCAGCATCTGTGGGATGGGGGATGGGCAACGCCTGTCAGGGCCCCCGGGAGAAATGCCACCAGGAAGCCAAGAGCTGGGGGGACCTGGGAGGTCGTGCAGGCCTCCCCCATTCTGTCCCTGGGGGGACTGAGGCCCAGCAGAACGGTGAGGGCGCTGGGACAGATATGGGCCCAAAGGCCTTGCTGACATGAGCCCCTCAGTGCTGGAGAGGCGGGGGCAGGGGGGTGGGGGCAAGAAGTGCCCCCCCTACTGTCGGGGCTCCAGGGCCAGGCTGAGGTCAGCCTGTGCTGTGTGGTTCCTTCCGAGGCTGCTGCGTGGTGGGTGGGCAGGAGTGGGCTCCCTGAGGCTCTGGCCCTGCCTCCAGCCCTGTCCGTCCTTCCGTCTCCTCTTCGGTCCATCTCACCCCTTGCCTCTCGGACCTCGCTCCTCACCGTGTTCTGTCTCCCCTCCCGGCTGTCTTCTCTCTCAGTTGCGTACTTGAAGGATCGGAGGCTGAGTGGAGGAGCAGGTAGCCCTGGAGCCCCTCCCCGATGCATGGCCCGCCCGGGCTCCCCTGCTCCTTCCTCTGGCTGCGCTGAGCCAGCGCATCTCGCTGTGGTTTGGAACCTTCTCGTGTCCTGCTTGTGCGCAGATCCTGGGTGGTGTAGGCCTTGCCCCTTTTTAGGGCTCTGGATTGAGTGGGTTCGAGAGCAGCCTTGCTCCTAGGGAGGTTCCGGAGCTGTGGCAGCTGGAACCAGACCCTCTCGAGGGCGGGCCCAGGCGCGGCCCTGCCCCAGCTGAGCAGGTGGCCCGAACAGGTGGCCGGATAAGTGAGGAGGGCCGAGTCTCGCTTGTGAAACGCAATGAGGCAGAAATGCGACTTAGGGCAGTTTGGCCTCCTTTGCAGAATCACCCCCCTCTCCCAGCCACCCCCCCCATCCTCTCAAGGCAGGCCACGCTGAAACAATGCCCCCTCCTTCCCCCAGCTCGGAGTGGGGGGAGCTGGTCAGCTCCCGCCCATCCTGGCCTTGTCTCTGGCCAGCTGTGGCGAGAGGGTCCTGCTGGCGTCTGCGGACCCCGGCCCGGCCCCGGCTCGCTCACTGTCGCTGGCTGCATGCCTCGGGCTGGCAGAGCCGACGCCAGAGCCCCGGCTTGGGACGGGCCTCTGTGCCGTCGGAAGAACGGGTCTCGCTGGCCGCTTTGCTTGCGTGAGTCCTTCTCCCGCCTGTGGTGCCCGGCCCTGCCCGCTGGCCCTCATGCCCGGCCCCGCCTCTGTCCACAGTGCCCTCGGCCAGCATGACCCGGCTCGCCCGCTCTCGGACCGCGTCCCTCACCAGTGCCAGCTCGGTGGAGGGCAGCCGCCCGCAGGCCTGCACCCACTCGGAGAGCAGCGATGGGCTGGGCCAGGTCAACCACACCATGGAGGTGTCCTGTTGAAGCCCTGGTCCCCTGAAGACGCCCACGTGCCCCCACCCGCGTTGAGGTCCCACTGCCACCCTCGCGCCCGCCGGCTCCTTTTCTGTTTTGTTTCTTTCTGTGAAGGCGAAGGGAGGAGAGGGGGTTACGGCTCTCAGATGCTACAGCAGAACAGTCTCCAGGGGGTCCCCAGGCCCCACCTCACTAACCTTGTTGACCTGGCTAACTTGGGCCGGTTCTGCCGAGTCCCCAGCTCCTGGGCGGGAGGGGGACCAGCTAAGGAAAGGCCGCGTCCCTCTCTGGCCAGGATCCAGGATGATATCCTGGGTTAAAGAAAGAGCAAGGGATGACCCCCGGGGCAGGCAGGTTTGAAGGTGGGATGGAGTGGTGAGGTGATGGGTGCAGCTCAGGCACTGGCATGAGAACCAGGAGAGGCAGCAGGGAGCCCTGGACCCCCCCCACCCCCCAACCCCCACCCCAGCTCCCACCAAGCACATCTGATTCTGTCTCATAGCACATATGACAATCATCTGAACAGTAGCCACAAGGGGGCGCTCCCACAGGCCTCTTTTGCGGGTACTGCAGGGCCAGGCAGGCAGGGGCCAGGCAAGCAGGGGCTGAAGGGGATTTCTCTGTCCAAGGAAAACAAAAGAAAGGACCTTGAGGGCAGGAACCCCGCAGGTTCCATGAAGGACAGTGTGGCCAAGGCCGCCAGAAACATGGTATTTCTAGGAAGAGTCCTGGTAGAGTTATGCCGGCGTTTCACCCAGGCATCCCTAAGCAAGGCGAGAGAGTTTCTGTAGAACTGGTCCAGGGTGTGAAGACTCCCGCAGGCCCCGTCCCATCTTGGCCTGTGGAGTGGCTTGGGCTGGGGCTTTGCTAGATCCGGGGGTAGGAGGGGAAGGTTCCCGCAGTGAACAAGGACCAGGCAGAGGAGAGAGGCTCCCCCCACACACCCTGCCCCCTCCTGCCACCTAAAGCCCAGGACTGGGCCGTATATTTCCCATCCACCACCTTATCAGGTAGAATCTCTGGGCCCAGAAACCAGAAGCCATTTGTCTCAGAGCCTGAGTCAGTTGCCACAAACCCCCAAACGAGTAAAAAGAAAGGGGGGAGAGCTATGAAAATCGGAGGGCCGGGGTGTGTATGTTGGGGGGGGGGTGTGTGCTCTGAGGCTGGGAGGGTACCCATATCCATGTTTCCTCTGCACATATTACCCCCCCCCCTCCAATAATCTTAAGCCATTGCTAGATTTCTCTAGAGCCTGGTGGAGTGTTAATCTGTGCCCAGTTCTATTCACTCACGTGCTTCCTTTGAATATCGAATGTGACCGTTTGAAAAGCTGGTAGAATTAATCCCTCTTACTGTAGATAGTGCTGCAAGTTGGATTTCTCTTGTTTTGCTGTGTTCTTTCAGATGAGATATCTATAAATACCTATACATTATATATATATGTATGTATATCGGGTCCTCCTGTGTGTGGTTTTCCATCGGAGGTTGTCTCTTCTTTGGTCAAAGTGAACTTTGAATGGAGTTTATTATTTTCCTCTCTGTACAGGGTGGAGAGCCTAATTTTGTGTATTCTAGTGGCTGATGTCATGAGACTCGGAAATGACAAAATGTAAAACAAGTAAAAACCCTTGTCAACATAGAAAGTTAACTGTGCTGAAAACCAATAAAGAAACTAAAAGGAATTTGGGTATGGTGATGCCGTGCCCACCGTGGGAAGCTTTGGAAGAGACAAAGTTGAGGCTGGCAAAGCTGATGCCTGTGGGGGTGAGGGTGGGGGAGTGTGCAGTGTGAGGGTGGGCACTTCCATCTCCATGTTCCCACTTCTTGTCCCATACATTACGCTGTCAACCCTTACATTAACTCTACAGGATAGATATCCGTTATCTTAGGTGCCCACAGCGGA